GTATATATATATATGTATATATATATGTATATATATATATGGTAGGTCTTGAGAATGGAGGATGATTGCTCTGCTAGGGTTTCGAAGGGCGATCGCCATTGATTCTGCCGCTCTACCTTTCTGCTTCGTCGGCTCGTGCCCGCCTTGTCGGCGTCTGCTCGGCGTTCGTCTGCGTTTGCTCAACGAGTCTGCTCGGTGTCTCTGCTCGACGAGTCTGCTCGGCGTCGCTCGCTCGGGGTTCGTCTGCTCGATGACTCTCGAAGCTTCACGTTTCCGTCTGCTCGTGAAGCTTCTCACTGTTCCTGCCGCAGCAACTTTGCTGTAGCTTAAATCCGACAGCTCTACCTCCTTGCTCTGATGGCGCCTCCTTGTTTGGTTTAGCCGGACAAAGTTTTTTTTGCTCACGTGGTGGGTAACCCTCAAGTAGAGTCCGTAGTGGGATTTCCTTCAAGTTATAAGGAATCTTGTGAGGGTACAAATGATTGTCCTTTTATTAAAAATGGAAGCAAGAAAGACAGAAAATATGCAATCTTTTTCTCGGAAACATAAATTTTTATTATGATGGAAAAATTTAAATTTGCTCTTATTGGAAAATTTTAGTGGAGACACCCTCCTATGGAGGTTATCAGAAAGAGTGTTGATGATCTTAGACAATGGATATGAGATATATGTTGATCCAACTAACAGTGGCTGAAAATTACACCAGAATTTTCTCCAAGAAATATCTTAATATCGAAGGTAAATCAATGAAGTTACTCAAGTGGTCTCCTAATTTTGACCCAAATCATGAAACTCCCACTGTACCAGTATGGTTTAGTTTACCTGGTCTCAGACTGCATTTTTTTCACTACAGGTTCTCTACTCTATTGGGGTCATCCTTAGGGATCATTTGAAACTAGGTCTGCCCACTTTCAACCTAACTAGACCCTCGGTGGCCAGAATACTTGTGGAAAAGGATATTACTTTACCAGATGTTACTGAAGTCTGGCTGGGCAAAACCCATAATGGTTATTAACAACAAATCGTCATGGAACACAAAGCCCCATATTGTACCCACTGTAAGATGTTTGGTCATATTCTTGCTAAATGCCACAAATTTCATCCTAATTTGAAATCTAAGGGTCAAGTGAATAAGGATGGATAAGGGTCAAGTGAATAAGGATGGGTTTAACCCCACTGCTGTGGACATTTTAGTTCCACCTGAGGATGATACTACCAGACAGGAGGTATTTGTTGCACCTGAGGACCCCCCATGATACTACTGTTACTGTTACTGCTAGTGATGCGATGCAAACACCTACAAACTCCATACAAAACAATTCTGATGGACTATTGCCTATAAATGATAGTGTTCGGACTGATAATCAGTAGAACCTCGCAGCTCCACTTTTTCAAGAAGTAACCGGTGTAGCGACAACTCACATTTCTCATATTGTAGAACCTATTGTGGATACTACTGTTTCTTTTGGTTCAGCTTTACCCCATCAAGCGGATTCTTTGGAGGAGGAATGACAGGTTTACACTTCCAGGAGGAAGAAGAATGAAGATCAAGATCTACTAGAGCTCAGGAGAGCTCAGGAGTCTTATGGATGATAATTTGGTTACTACGGGTAATGATTAGCACATTGTCGGTCAACTTTTCGATAGATTATTTTAAAAATATGGATATGAAAATAATTTTTGAAATTTAATTTAATATAATAGATATATAGTTTGAATTTTTAAAGTAGCATGTTTTAATTTTTGAAAAATGAGACCAAATGGATCTCATTTGTCTAATAGTTTGCATAATTGTGCCCGATACCGCGAATACTACACCTTCCCGAAAGATAAATGTAGATCTCGGCGATAGACCCAATCCTGCAAACTAAGAGATTTATGACATCCGTTTGGTTTGCGAACCTTTTATATATGACCGACAAATTCCCCTATTTAATACAAAGATTAAATAGGGTTTATTTTACCTGGGTTCCAAGTTCCCTATAGAAGCAAACCCCTATAGTTAATTACATCCCAAGTGACGGGAGTCACTTGAGAAAACTCTCGATAATGATCAGTGGTTGTTGTCTTCAAGAATTCAAGGTTCAAGTTTTCAAGGTAGGACATAAAAAAACAAGTGGGAGTGGCTCAGGTGAGAACAATCATTTCAGGAGTCCAAAGGAAGTAAAGGGTAGAGGATGTCACAGATTCTGAGGAGAATCCTCAGTGATCTCCCAAACTATCCTACCGTGTGGCTGTATTTTAGAGACGATGTTATTCAATTGTTCAATCCTGCCAATTTTATTATTTGGGATTTACATTTGCATAATAACTGGTTATGCAAATAGCCCGCAAAGATAAGAGGTTTTACGTCATTCTAGATGACAACCTCAGAACCTAAGGCGAGTTAGGACTTACGCTGCACAACATAGTTGTGCAGGAGCCTAAAAGAGAGAGGAATTATGAATTACATCGCGTTAGGCGAACTACCTCGAAATTCTATGGGTTGTTTAAACTAGGAAATTTCAGTTTGTGTAGACTCGTTTTGCTGTTGTAGAATTGCGACCACCTCCACCTGTAGTTCGCTCCAAACTCCTTGCCGTGCTGCCCACGAAGTTTCTCCGAGCTCCTCGTCGCTGTAACAGTCCTAAAGTCTAAAGTTCAAACAGTTTTACCAGGTGTGTTTCAATGTCTCAGTTTGGTGTCTGAACTTACTTAGTTTAAACGAGTTGTGAAACTCATTTAAACCGGGGAGATCTCGTTAGCAACCGTGGGTTACCTCCTCCTTCCGGTATCACTATTTTCTTTTGAACTTACTTAGTTTAAACGAGTTGTGAAACTCAATTAAACCGGAGAGATCTCGTTAGCAACCGTTGGTTACCTCCTCCGAGGGACTCCCGTAAGTTCGAAAGAACGTATTATGTTTTTTTTTGTTTTGTTTTATTTTGAAAATGTTGTTTAATTTAAAAAAAAAGTTTTGTTTTGAAAGTGATATTGTATTCAGTACCTGCATAATGTGTTAGAGCAAGAGTAATTGCAATAAAAGAAAAGAACAATAACAAATAAAATGTACCTGCGTACGTGACGTATCTGCTGCTGTTATTCCTGTTGCATGTTTAACTCACAAAGCACAATATAATTTGCAGGGATTTTACATAAATTGCAAAGAAAAGAAAAAAAAATAAACAGTAGAACAAGTTATAGTAACAGTTAGGAATTCCCAAAACGGGTGATCCTAAGGTCTTCTACAACTCCTTACTGCAACTAGCGAGCTAGTATGGTGATCCTACGACCTCCTACAGCTTTAACAAGAAACTAGCAAATGTGTACGGTGATCCTACGACTCCGGACAACAGCTAGGAATTTCAAATGATGCCTGTATGAGTTTTTATGAACCCAAACAACAATGGGCAACACCTATGTGGTTTCCTACGAACCCGAACAGAGGTGGACAACAACTATATGGACAGCTACTAGGTGGCTTCCTACGAACCCAAATTGGTGGTGGACAGCTACTAGGTGATTTCCTACGAAATTTGGCAGCAAATAGAAGCACTGGACAACAGTCCTACAGCTCTTATAGCTCGGGGCAGCAACTAGCAGGCTTGTACAACGATCCTACGACCCTCTACAACTTCCAAACACCCTTAATTAGCAATGGGCAGTAGTCTTTCATCTCAAACAACTCCCAAACGACAAATCTAAAGCCCAAACAACACTTCCAAGGCTTTCTAAGCTTCCAACAACGCTCCTAGGGCTCCAACAGCGCTCCTAGGACACTCCCAAGGCTTTTCTAAGCTTTCAACAGCACTCCTAAGGCTCCAACAACGCTCCTACGACACTGGGCAACAACTAGCACTCCAAATCATTAAATTCAGCACCTCGCAGCACTCATACAGCACTTATGACACTCCAAATCATTAAAACACTCCAAATCATTAAATTCA